GACTCTTCTTTATGTATCTATGGTAAACTAAGCAGTTCTGTTTTTAACGCTTGAATAAAATTCCTCTAATCAGCTTCGAGTAACTAGTTCCGTTTGCGCGACATGGGGACGCCATGTCGCAAAGTAGGCTAATTTTTCCACGAGGAAAAATGACCGAAAATACAGGCACTTTTTACACCCAGTATAAGCACGTCGATGGCAATATGGTTAAAAAAATACGCGTCGTTGATCTCGAAGCACTGCAATCACTCGTCCAGGTATGTTCGCGCACAGTAATCGCCTGTACATCCTGCAGGTGTCGCGGTTTCGTTGTTAAACGAAAAAAAAAAGGTGGACTCGTCGGCCGAAGACGATACCTGTCGGTGACGTGAACACGGCCGTGCTGGCACTAATTGCGCCAGCGAATAATTGCTCGATAAACATCCTGTTAATCTCACTTTTATGTTCTATACATTGTAGAGCCTCATGTCGGTGCCTCGTAGCACGCGAGCCTCTCGTTTTCCCTCTCCGTTGCTCGCACACGAAACACGACAATTTTCATGGGTGCATACACGACGTGCATCCGGTGCAAGCGTCGTATTCCTGACGTTTGCCGCAACGATTACACACGTACGAAACGTAATTAAAGTAACGCAAAGCCGTCTATATGATCGAGTAATCTCCGAGCTCGAATAGGTTGACCGGTTAAAATCGAACCAATTCGGAGAAACGATCCGTTGACCATATTTTTTTCTCCATTTTTGTTCACCCTTTGATTGCATGCAGCCGATGGGAATACCGTTAGCCGGTAATTTCATTGGCGACAAATCTGATCCGTTGTTTCGACGCGTTAACTTCGTTCCGTTATGTGTACGAATACTTAATTAACTTTTCTAGGCTGTCGCTTCACCTACGGGTATCATGCTCGAATTCGATCGACCTTCCTAGTTTCTTTCGCGTTGTTTTTCCGGACACGACAATTGTTTTAATCCGATGAAAAATGAAGCGACTTCTTTCGGACCGTAGTTCTTTCTCTTGGAGAGTATAGCAACCCTGGAAGCATTTCCAGCCACTCATTTTTCTTCCTTTCGCCGTTGACGTTATTCTCTTGACTTCCCCTGCCACCTGTTTCCATTACACGACGCTTCGAGTTTCGTCCGTGTTTTTTTTCCTCGGTTCTTCGAGAACTGGAAGCTGTCTCGGGAAAGAATTTTGAGCAAGCACCATATATCTTCGCGTTGTCCATACATTTCCTCTCCACTTTATTGTTCTCGCGGTATAAATTTACGTCCAAGTCGATCCTGTATCTTCTTAGACTTTCGACAAAGTATGAAACTTCCGAATGTTCAAGGATTAGTAATTCTTAGATTCTACCGATAGCAGGACTTTCGGAATAATATCAAAAAATTAACGTCGTTTAAATCCTTATCTCGCCCGTTATGCGATAAGAGGCTAAGAATAACTTTTGCATTTAATTTTTATTTTACTTTTGGCGATAAATAGTTCCTGTATTTAAACCGAACGGATCGCGGAAAAACGATTTTTCCGAATCCGTTTGGGAAACATTGACCGCCATTATCGGTCGAGATAAAGCGGAACGTATGTAGAGCCATAAAGACATCCAGGCTCAAGGATAAAACCCTTAGCTACGTGCCGTGGGAGTAAACGGTAGGAGAAGCGTATAAAAAGTAGCTTTTTCAAAGAGGCAGAGAGAAGAAGACGAAAGGAAGCAACTGTTTCGCGATGCTTCTCGAGTTACTTGAAACTCTCTTCTCTTTGCGGATGGGGTTGGCAAGAGGGTGAAAAAGTTCCAACGTCTTGGAAACGTCTAAAAAAAAAAGGTGAACCGTGTCGGTTCAGACGTAGCCTGCCTCTAAGTGTATCACATAGTAAATTTAGTTTTCCAACCTCCGTTTCCCTATCTCTGGCCGTCTTTGTCGAGCCGTTACAGTCCACGATGAAATCCCTCTTTCCTGAGGGATCGTCGGCCATCTTTGCCAACATGGCGGACTAGTCCCGGATCCGTTCGAGCGAATCTGGCCGATCAAACGGAGGCTAAGAGCCACGCTTTCGTTCGAGTTAACTCAATCCGCTGCCTCTCCATCGCTCCACTCTTCTCTCTTTCCCCGCTACGTCTGTCCGCTTCTTCCCCACTGCCTCCTCCTGCACACCGTTTCTTTTCCGCACCACCCACGACCGTTCCAATCGATGAGCTCGCGACAACGGTCCTTTAGATACTTTTAGAAGCCCGCAGAACATCTCCCCCGGGGGTTGCTCGACTGATCGCTCCCCCGACGGGATTCGCTGCAACCCTTGGACCTTCCAATTCTCTACCGCTATGGATAGCTGATATTACTTCCGCTTTCAAGTTAAGTACGATGTTTGTTTGCTTTCGATACGTTTAAGGACGATGGAAAATTGTTTCGAGGTCGAGATTGCTTTTGTGCGGTCACAATCTTGCTTCAAGGTTAAAATAATTGGACGCGATGCAAAAATCGTGGACACGTCGATAGAACAGATGTTGAACTCTTTGAGCAGTTACGACGGAATTAAATATTTTAAACAGCTATACTAGCTTTGGGTGTTTCTGGAGCTGGGTGACGATCGAAATATTTTACATTTTGATTCTAAAATACAATTTAGAACTAGCGTAGTAAACTTGAAATGTTCAAAGGCTAATTAAACCATAACTATCAACAGCGCAATCAATTGTACGTCTACGATTACATGACTCGATAGATATCTCGTTGCTAAGAAAAGGCCTCTATCAGACCTTCTTATCCCGCATAATCTAAGAGCTCCGACGAACAATACATTGTCAATATTCCAGAGTTCTTCCTGTTTATCGTCGATACTGAAATACCGACTTTCCGACACTGTACACGAGAACCCCCGGTATTTACCGAGGTCTCCATACCGCGTAAATGTTTCGATCTCATAAAATAAATAAGTTTGATGAGCTTTTCTTTGAGACGAATTTTATCCGTACACGTTTGTTCCGGCAAGATGGCTAGGAAATTGCGTCCCTTTCACGAGGGCGAGGAAAAGAGACGCGTCGAAATAAAAAGAACAGCGTTAACGAGATTCCAGGGGGATGAACCGAGGACACTGGTGTCTGTATCGTCGGTGCACGGGTCAGATTTGATCCAGAGAGATGCGCGCGCGTGCGAGCCTGTATGCGTGTCGGCGCGGAGAAGCGCAACTTGCCGACGCGTATCGGGTGTAATCGGTTTCCTCGGGGAATCCCACCCTCTCTCCGTTGGCGCCGACGAACCGGGGGGATAATTTGCGGCGTCTCGACGCGACTATCGCTCCCCCGACGGGATTCGCTGCAACCCTTGGACCTTCCAATTCTCTACCGCTATGGATAGCTGATATTACTTCCGCTTTCAAGTTAAGTACGATGTTTGTTTGCTTTCGATACGTTTAAGGACGATGGAAAATTGTTTCGAGGTCGAGATTGCTTTTGTGCGGTCACAATCTTGCTTCAAGGTTAAAATAATTGGACGCGATGCAAAAATCGTGGACACGTCGATAGAACAGATGTTGAACTCTTTGAGCAGTTACGACGGAATTAAATATTTTAAACAGCTATACTAGCTTTGGGTGTTTCTGGAGCTGGGTGACGATCGAAATATTTTACATTTTGATTCTAAAATACAATTTAGAACTAGCGTAGTAAACTTGAAATGTTCAAAGGCTAATTAAACCATAACTATCAACAGCGCAATCAATTGTACGTCTACGATTACATGACTCGATAGATATCTCGTTGCTAAGAAAAGGCCTCTATCAGACCTTCTTATCCCGCATAATCTAAGAGCTCCGACGAACAATACATTGTCAATATTCCAGAGTTCTTCCTGTTTATCGTCGATACTGAAATACCGACTTTCCGACACTGTACACGAGAACCCCCGGTATTTACCGAGGTCTCCATACCGCGTAAATGTTTCGATCTCATAAAATAAATAAGTTTGATGAGCTTTTCTTTGAGACGAATTTTATCCGTACACGTTTGTTCCGGCAAGATGGCTAGGAAATTGCGTCCCTTTCACGAGGGCGAGGAAAAGAGACGCGTCGAAATAAAAAGAACAGCGTTAACGAGATTCCAGGGGGATGAACCGAGGACACTGGTGTCTGTATCGTCGGTGCACGGGTCAGATTTGATCCAGAGAGATGCGCGCGCGTGCGAGCCTGTATGCGTGTCGGCGCGGAGAAGCGCAACTTGCCGACGCGTATCGGGTGTAATCGGTTTCCTCGGGGAATCCCACCCTCTCTCCGTTGGCGCCGACGAACCGGGGGGATAATTTGCGGCGTCTCGACGCGACTGCGTGGTCCAATCCGCGATACCAGCCAATCGGCTCTCGGCTGCGCGGACTTCGAGCCGAGAACAAAAGGATCTCTCTGCCGATAGAGAGGCAGGCGGCTGTGATCGCCATACAGGGACCAGCAAAACCGAACTCCACCGCATCGATTACTTCCCCTACGGACTGCGATAAAGCTTCTTCGACTTCGACACCCCACCCCTATACTTACCCTTTCGTCCAATCTCCGCGTTTATCTCTTAATTACTAGGACCACTTAAATCTATCTTGTGATCATTGATACATGAAAAAATAAACTTTAAATATTTTTAATAATAACCCTTTGCACTTGGACGGTGACAGTCACCATTTAATTTCGAGTAGGTATTTTTTAACTGATAGTGCTATGATGTATGAACGTAATAATAATAGTTAACAACAGAGAAATGATTTAAACAAAAATTTGTTAACAATAGAAGTTTTAAAACATAAAGTAGTAAACTGAAAGGTCAATCGACATATCTGACAGAGTAATTCAGAGCGAGAATAATGAATGTACACCTAAGCTTTTATGACTATAAAATTTTCGCTGGATGTCCAGAACATGTCCTAAGTGAATTTTATCCTGAACACGTGTCCGAAGAGATTCGTAATAAAGTAAGTAGAACTGTGTGATTTTCAGCGTGCCTAAAACGAACGTTCCCCGGGTTTCAGGTGGCAAGGAGGACGACCCGAAAGGTTCATCGTCGGGTACCTTGGGGTCGGCGCAAAGCAAGAAACAACGAAAAGCGCGCACAGCGTTCACGGATAATCAACTGCAAACCCTGGAGAAGAGTTTCGAGCGACAAAAGTATCTGAGTGTACAGGATAGGATGGAACTAGCAGCGAAACTGCACCTGACCGACACCCAAGTCAAGACGTGGTACCAGAACAGAAGGTAGGATTAAAACTCGCGAGATTTATGACACCGTTGGATTCTTCTTGACAATGGGGAGTGTTAGATCTCCTGTAACGTAGAACGATAAACAATGTGACGTAACGTTGTCAAACGATATTTTTCTCTGACGAAAAGATAAAATAGATCAAAACTTCCTGCACATCTTTTTAAACAATTCCGTAAACTTTCATTGACCGAATTCTAAATCATCGAGTCCTAAAGCGAAATTTCAAAAGTCTCGAAGTTTCAAAAATTTTATGATCCCAGAGTTGTACTGTTGAAGCTCTAGTAATGACTGTAGTAAGAATGAATGGAAACTCGATATTTATTAAACGTTTGAAACTCGTTCCGATATAATCGGTCGATTCTCGATACGTTCGCAGGTTTTTTAAAGGACTGCTTGGTTCACGCTGGCGCGATTATCGGTACACGTTGCAGCAGGTCCGGTAAAAGAGGTATACCGTGACTTTCGAGACGTTCGAGCAAGAATCGAAAGAGGCCCGTGATCCTTGCGTTTAACCACGTAAACAGCGCCTTTGTTGGCTGCCGCGATTTCCATTTACGGATTCGATACGCGCCGTCACGAGCGAACGACCGCGGCTGTTACGCTTCTCATCCTGGTGCACTCTGATGAGGGTGCATCCCTTATACACGCGCACAAAGTAACGAAAATGTTGTGCTCGAAGAGCCGATCAGGAGCGGCTTCTTCGACGGTTTCTTATCTCCTCGTTCCCTGTTTTCAGCCGTTTATACAAAGTCAATCGTCCATTGTTCGACCGAGCTTCTCGTTCAACACGCCTTACTGAATCCTTTGAGTACCGTGATTCAAGCGTTTCTTTGTTGCACGACAATCTTTCTTGGTTGTTTATTAAATGGCAAGAATGCAAGACCAGTCTGCTCGTGTTTGTTTTCTGTCGAAGCACGGTCGCACTTTTCTGATGCATCGGTGCACGAACTTCATTCCAGATTGTCAGTCACTTTTTGTCTCTTCGAACGCTTTAAAATGTAACTCGGGTTATTTGCACAAAACTCTTTGTCACGAGACTCGGATCATAAAATTACAATTACGAAGCGTACGTATTTACTTGCGACGAGCTTCACCGGCCTATGCAAATTACGCAGTTAAAAAATACCTTGCGTATTATAAACATTGCAACATAGTATACAGGATAAACAAAATATGATTGCATAGTATTACGGTATAAATAATTGTGCGAAACGTAGAGGATACCGTAGGGACAGCGAGAGGCTAATCGCGAGTGTTTTGCAAGAGAAAAGAGCATAGGAAACGTGTAAGGAGTTAATTAATGGACAACGAGGAAAGTACGCGTGCCATGATTATCGTCGGTTTGAATGAAAGAACGAAAGGCTGGCAAGAGGGTGCAAAAAGCCGGGAAAATTAGTGACGCTTCTGTCGGCTGGCTTCTTAAGTGCCCGCTTAAAGTTTTGTTGCTCCGTACACGTTGCTGGCAGAGAATGACTCGGCGCCTTTTCGCGGAGGCGCCGACCACACCTCGGGCGCCACGACGACGGATTTTCTATCCCTTTTACTCCGGCAAACTACCACCTACGAGACACGGCAAACGTTTCTTCGACGCGGCTATCGTCGACCCTTATTAACCCTTTAGCTACTATGCGCTACTATAATGCCTCATTGCTAAACGATTTCTCAACATGAAACGTCATTATACGCGACTTTGTTCGCGCCTAACGTCCCACCTTATTTTAACCACGTTTCATTTTCGCTTTCGACTTCTTGCTTTATTTTACGGTGTTGTCACTGTTTTTCTTGCCTGAGGTGTAGCGAAAAATTGTTCTTACTTTAATTGAATCTATCGTGTGTAATCTATCTTGTACAAAGGAATATGATTTTTATAAAATATGTAGCTGTCAAAGTTAATCGACCGATCAATTAATTAGTCCACCATGTACTAACTCCAGAGCCTCTACCTCTTTGAATATTCTTTTGTGCATCGTACAATTTGAAATTCACATTTTCAATAAAAGCCTACGTTCTAAATCTTTGTCGCTCTTTTTTCGAGCAGAGAAGACAAAAGAGCCGGTGGCGAATAAGGGCGTGTTTCAATGTGTACGTATTAAAATGCAAGCAAGCGGGCGTCGGGTCTAATTGAATCAGCTTTGATTAGAAATTCTTCTTTCACCGTTGAGGATGCCGTTAGAACGGCAGAAGGATTGCTAACGAGCTCGTGGAACTTTCAACGGGCGCAAATTTCCTGAAAGCTGGAATATTTTCCAAACCTTTCTTCCTCCTGTCTGGCCCGTTCGACTGTAGAAAATCGAGCGTGTCGAAGTAATTCCCGAAGACAATGCAGAGCCAACGATTTGAATTCTTCTCGGTGGTTGTTAAGTAGAGGATCCTCGTGACTAACGAGCGTGATGATGGAAAGAAGATAGGAAGACCGCGAAATATCGACAGGACGAAATTACAGGCGCCACTGAATGACTCGGTGAAAACCGCTTTTGGACACAAAGGATGCCGCTGAACAACCTGAAATCGACTCTGTCCGCTGATTCAACTTTCGTTTCTTTCACGATCGAAAACGCGTCGCGTTCTTTTTTACCGAGTTTTGACACTCTCAAAATCTGAACGATTAATTGTTCGTTGCGCGCAGAATACATGGGTGTTGGTTACACGAGAAAATACAAGGACTACGCCGTTTAACGCGTCTTCCAGTATCCTTTGCAGTTCGATCGTTTATTTTTATTCCTCACCGATCTTCTAAAACAAAACGTATATTTTAATGACGGGGTAAACGTGCTACCGGATGTTTTTATAATTGCAGTGCGTCATGGAGCAAATGAAACTACGTTTGGTGCTACGAGTGCAGAATGTAAAGTCAGGCAGCTGAAAGATTATACACACTATCGATCAGGATTCCATTAATTTACATGGACAAGATTCTCATCAAACTTCTAACGTAGGAAGGTCAACGCGTAATTAAACACGTTTGATTCGCAAATCGCAGTTAATCTGGCAAAAGGACAACGACGAGAGACGGACGAGGCTGGAAAACGAAACAGGTCGCCAACCGATAATGAACACTCGCCTCGACCACTATTTACTCGCTCTTGAATCTCCGTGCTGCCGTTTAAATCGTCCAGTTACGGTGATTTTCTCCTGGCGAACATGCATTTTCCGCGAAATCGATCGCGGTCTCGGAGTCTAAATTCCTCGCTTCGCCTACTACCGATCAACGACACGCTCGTACCACGGTTTTTCTGCCTAACTACCGAGCATACGCATCGAACCCGATTATTCAGAAGTCATTAGGACTCGTTAAGTTACTTCTGGTATCTACTTATCGGTTAATTACGTACACGGCCATAAATCGAACGAAGAGTGGCGTTCACGCACGACACACTGATCGATCGCTCGTCAAGCGTACCGATTTTCTTTCCTAATGAAATGTGGCGTTAATCTTTACACGTTGCGTCGCTGAAGATCGAGTATTAATGCTGAACAAGTGTATGTACACGGCTACTAATCGAGCTGTTGAATTTATATTGGAGGTAGAAATTCCTAAAGCGTGGGTATCTACCGATGCATTCTGAGATGCGTTGAGTTAAACGTTAACGCGAAATATTTAAAAGAGATGCTATTTTGTATTCTACAACCTCATCTTTAACACTCAACGAACAAGCGATTTCAGAATCTCAGAAGATTGGGACTTTGGAATTTTGGAATGCTTGAAAAAAAATGTTAATCCATGTAAGATAGGAATTAAGGGCACGAACGTATGATTTGGTAATTGTTGATAAACGAGAGGAAAGTTGAGTAGCAGAACGGAGTATTCCATTACGCGAGGAGAAGAAGCCATCGTGCTTCCCGCGGCTTAGATGAAAATACGAGCAAGTGAAAACGTCACAGGGAACAGGATTGTCCTGTAACGTGGAAGGGGGACAAGAATCCTTCACACGGTTTTGCGCTCGTTATATACCATCAACGCTAAACACACCATCAACCATGGAACACGCTATAATGTTTTACTACATGGCTATTCAGAAGTAATACCTCATACAAACATTGGATAAGAAGTAAGGATACGCGTGTAACGGGTCATGGAATAGAGATACCGACGAGATAATAAGATACTTGAAAGTCTAAGAAGATAATTAAAAATTGATTTTACTCCGCGCGGCTGTCCATCGAATGTCAACACGATTTATAGTTAATTGAACGTATCGAGATTCGTATAGTCTAATATTTATAATTAGCAGCGGGTAAAAAGTAGACAGGGGATGTTTATGCATTTATGACACGAAGAAATATGTAGAATAGCGTTAAACTATTAATCATTAACGCGTTTACGATGCAGGCTCTTTGACGGGCGCTTGACTCGCTCATCACCGAGCTGAATTATTCCGAAGCCGCGTGGTAGGGGATCCGGTAACCGGTAATGAAGCGAGAAAATAACGATAGGAACGGTGACACGCTTCTCCGAAACAAAATTATCGCGATATTCGGTATATTTTTAGACTCGAGTGGAACTAAGGTGTACAAATGCGCATGCAAATACATCGTTACTCCGCGCGCCACCCTTTGGTTACCGGGCGCCGTTTAGCCTCGTTTTTTTCCAGCCATTTCACGAAATTCCTGCGACCCCTTTGCCTCGGTTTAACTTGAAATCGTACACGAAATCATGTACGGTTTCGTGGCACGAATTTTTCCGTCGACCGACCGTGGTCGGCGAAAGATCGGATCGGAACGAGTGCATTTGACTAGCCGAGAAATCAAGACGATCCGTTATGAAGCGGTTTACCAGCAGGCGTGGGAAGCTCATGCGTTCTTCCGGTCTGGGCACGGAGAAGCCTCGAGAAACAACGAAGCCGGATTCTCACGATTGCGATGTATCACACGACGCGTTAGCGATGTCGCCACGCTATTACGGCGCCGTTGGATCAACGGAGAACACCGAATGGTGAAAAGAGGAAGAAAAACGATGCCGTTTCTTCTCTGCATTTCTTTACACGTTCCTCCACTGTCTCGCGGTAAAATTTGCACCTAATTTACCGGTTTCAATGGAAATGTTTTTGTCCCTGTCTCTAATTAACAGATCCTCTCGGTTCGAGCCTGCTCGCGTTTACCTTCGGCAACACGCTTTGATACGGTTTAGGTAATTGCTATATTTACGCTAACTTTCTCCTTGGTTACGATGTTCTTTCGCAGAACACTTCTTTTTACGGGGACCTTTTGAGGTTGCTCGTCATTTCACGCGTTTGCCGAAATTCTTTCGAACTTCGAAATGCTCTTCTTGTGACGGTTCTCGATTAAATATTTCTGTTAAATTATTAATAAATTTAGCATATAGCGACATCTTGCAGTATTAGAAATGATGTGCGATGTTAGTAACAGAATAATTGAATATTAGAAACAAAATAATTGAATGTTGTACTTCCGTCTTGTCGTTATGAAAATGTAATTGTTCGTGATATGTTTGTTTTAAAAGAAAAAGTAATCTCTGTTTAAATGGTTAATCTTTAAGTTAAAATGTTTGTTGTTTGCGTTTTTTATTAAATAATTTGTTCATGTTCAAAAGTGTATTACCAATTTTGTTATTTTCCATAATTCTGATTATTTAACAATTTCATTTCGTTGTGACACGAAATAACTTCCAATTTTATTTTCCATATTGTCGTAATCTTCTTTAATCAATTGCACCTCACTCTTTGTTAATCTGAATTCGATGGTTGACATTCGTTTCCATTGAAATCGATCTCATCGTTAACGAGGATGATTACATAAACTCTGTGGTTCTCGATGGCGGAAAATTTGCTCGCCTCCCATTCAACGTCCCATTTCCTGTTCACCCTTTGTAACGTTATGCGTGAACCCCGAAGGAACATGTGTCCCGTAGCCAGTCGGGCAAATAATAATTTAAAAATATGTCGCCCTATTCTTTGCTCCTTCCTATCTGTCTGTCGCCGTTATTATACTAGCAAACCAACAGCTTGGCTGCATTAGTGTCGCGAGAACTCGTAACCGCAAAACCACCGACCAGTTCCAAACACCATTATAAATGCATTAACTCTCTCCCCCTCAGCTTTTCCCTCCCCCTTTCAACCGCGTGTTGGTCGCGTCATTTTTTATCCTTCGTTGATTTAAGTAAACTCTCTTGATAGCTTACTAATGCTTCAATTTGCTATTTCGAATTACCAACGTAATTTTACCGGTATCTATTCAAATTTTTCCTTATCGGGTCGGGTATCATAGATAATTGTTATCGTGACCTGCAATAAAATTATCATACGTAGCGTAAACATATTTCGTGCAGAATATTTTCTAGACGTTTAGAAACAGCGAGTGATAATAAACGGCAGTAGTAGCTTTTGATATTAGTAAATATTCTTCTATGATTGCGGCGTGCGTTTAACGTTCTCGAGTCGTTATATCGTTCGGAAGTTAATGATCGTGCGCTATACGCGAGCACAAAAAACTCTCATGCTTTTCTACGATTTCATTAAATGCTCCCTTCCTCGTCTCTCTCCCTTCGATCGCCTCTCAATCTCCGTTCGCGTATGTAAATCTCGATCTGGGACAATTACGGCAAAACGGGTTGGCGTGCCGACGAGTGGTTACGTTGGCCACACTGTTGGCCGGCTGATTATACTAACAAATAGCCCGTGGAGTTTCGCTGCCTAATCATCGCGTATCATGCCACGCGCTCGCCAGTTCCTGCGAACCTTAAGTTAGTACCTTAAAGCGCCCTTAGACGAGGGTTGATACCGGCCATCGCGAAACTCTTCGAACAACGACAAAATTCGACGAACGAACGGCAAATACGTGACCGTTGTCGGCAAATTCCTTTCCGAGCACAGTACTGTTAAGAACGTTACTCGCGCGAATCGAAACTTTTCACCGAAATTAACTCAGTTAAGAAGTTAACCGTACGCTGTAATTTTCCCTAGGGAAACCTGCTACGCTTGCCAATGCACACATTGAACCTGATCCCACATTTAATACCGGAGTGAAGGAAAAACTCTCGCACCATTATAACAGCACTGAAATTGGACCAATTACGCAACTCGTTGCGTCTGGTATAATTATCGAAGAGCAGAGAGGAAGATTACAGTCCCATGTTCGTATCGGACACGTTGTGATTTAGTTCTTTCGCTCGTCGGAGTTACAACGCGTTTGTTATTACTGTAAACGCTTTATTGTCTCGCGATCGTGCATCGTAATCTCGAGATTGCAAGTTGCCGCGAAGAAAAACGAAGTCGCAAAGAGCCCATTCGATAAAACAATTTTTCACCGAGGCAAAACACGATTTGGTCCATAATTAACGACAGTTATACGCCTGATCGATCCCCGTTTAATATGGATTCACGCTTCGATGGTTAACGATCGAACGGTCGATTCGCTCGCGGTAATTACCTCTGGAATAATTAGAAAAAAAATCGCGGAGCTCGACGAGCTTTTACGCGAAAGTACCAATAAAATTTTGACCAACCGAGCCCGTCGACCACCACCGTCAAACGTCACGATTATCCTCGACGATAAATCAGCGCGGTAGTTTCGCCACCCTCTCAATTAAAAGCCGACGATTCGCTCGCTGCGGAATTCGAGGCGATAATTAACGAGCTTTGCCCGCGAGGGGGGCATTCGTTACGTTTTATCCATAAAAACCGGCGGCACGAGATAAAAATTAAACAACAAAAAATGGCTATTGCATCGAAACGAGGCCGCGAATTTTTACGAGAGGATCCAACGGAGGGTGGTGGCGGCGAGTTGAAGTTCGTTGTCGAGGTAATTAATAATCAGGAGATCCGCGGCTGGCAAGGGACAAAGCGGCTCTAACGGATATGCAGCTCGCACGGAAAATTCGACAATTAATATATTTTGTGGGGTGCATAGAACCACCTCGTTCCCTCTTCGACTCGTTCGTCTCTCTCTTTCTCTCTTTTCGTGTTCGCGTTGCATCGTTCGAAAATGTGGGCCACTCTCTCTCTCGATATACCCCTGCCTTTTGTAACGTTCCACGTTTGGTGGGGAGGGGTAGCAGTAAAATCGTTCATGAATTTTAAACAGCCACCTCTGAATCGAGCCACGATCATTTCTCATTTTTCTGCCGGCGCGTTAGCGAAAAGAAGACTACCGAGCGATTCAGCGAAACGCGAGAGAGAAAAGAGAAAGGGGTGAAACGGGGCGAAAGAACGGAGACGACAAGTTGCAATGAAAACCACTCGTGCGATTATGTGATGAGTAATGTTTTTTAATACCCCCATCCGAGGGGTGGCCGGTCATTTTCGAGTGCAGCCACTCTAAAACACCCTTAATTGCAGTAGCGGCTCTTTGTATCGGTATTGAATAACCACGGGAGGGAGAAAGAGAGACGAAGGGTCGGAAGTGACGACGGAAAGAGCCCGAAGTCATTGATTTATCGTTCTCGAGAGGTTCCCGGGGGTTGGTTGGATCTTGCTGGAATAAAACGAAGGGTAAAAGGGGGGCGGCGAGCTGGCACGGCCGAGGGAAGTGTCAAGAAACTGTAACGATCCAGCTTAATGATCGTCGACTTTTTGAGACGAAGGAAAGATGACTCTGGGAAAGATTTCTTTGATCCGTGGATCTTTGTACGTCTAACGGAAAATTTCACGCGTTCACTGGTTCTGGGGGCCACGAATTGTTCGCGTCAACCAACAACGTCGACAGAATATACCAACGAGGCGGTGATGACTTTGAATATTTAAGAAATTTAGGGATTTGTATAATTGAATAAGTAATTAAAAAGATTGTGGCGGTATCAGCCGAAGATCTAAAGTTGCCGATTATTCTGTTTGCAGAACAAAATGGAAGAGGCAGACGATCGTGGGTTTCGAGATCATGGCGGAGAACAATTTCGCGGTGGCGGCGTTCCAGCAATTGTACGGAAGCGGTGGCGTCCCGGCAGCAGCGGTCGCCGCGCATCCTGCGGCAGGGCGATATTGGCCATACCTGAATGCACACGCGCTACCGACCAACGGTCTCTTCTACCAACAAGCATCCGCGGCTGTGACACTACAGAAACCTCTAGCTTACAGGCCGTACCCACCGACGATGATCCTGGCAGGACCCAGCAATCCTCTAGGTACGTTATCGGCCAGCTCTAGTCTATCGAACCTGAGCAACTACTACCGAGACAGTCCGGACATGGTCGAAGGAAGAGAAAGAGAGAACCTGGACAGATCGTCGAGGCAAAGAGACAGAAGCAGAAGTCCCGTGATAAGGGACAGGTCGCCGTTGAGGAAGGAAGAAAGACTGTACACGCCGACGATGGTCCAGGCAGGATCGAGTAACACTATCGGAACGCTGACCGCGAGTTCCAGTCTCTCGAACCTGAGCAATTACTACAGAGACAGCCCCGAAGTGGCGGAGAACAGAGACAGGGAGAACATGACCCGAGTACCTAGACAGAGGGATAGGAGCAAGAGTCCGGTGTTGAGAGAACGATCTCCCGTGCGCAAGGACGAAAGACTTTATCCGGCTAGCATGCTCCAGCCGGGTCCTAGCAACACCATCGTGACGGGGAATTCGGGTCTTCCGATGGCCAACTACTACAGGGACAGCCCCGAGAGGGAGAACCTTAACAGGGCGAGCAGACAGAGGGACAGGAGCAACAGTCGCGACCGATCGCCGATGCAGAGAGAGGACAGTCCTCAGAGCATAAGGGCGGACAGCGACGAAGAGAGTATACACGATATCTAGGACATAGAGGACGAAGAACTGGAGGAATCGAGGGAACCGTCTTCTTGCGACCAGATTGAAGAGGATGAATCAGGCTCCGTCGAAGAGGATGGTTAATCCTTGCAGTTTGCTCGAGGGTGTCTCGAGTTCCTCGCGTCGAGGCAGCTAAGAGGTCGATGCGCGCGAAAATCACCCCTAGGTGATCGATACCTAACTTCGACGCTAGTTCATCGCGATGTCGTGGTCTCGATCGCGGATTCGTATCGAGCGATGTCGCGAACTCGACCCGTCGATATTTCAGCACGCGATATCGTTGACGCTCGAACGTTGCTCGGAGCAATCGAATCTGACAGCGAACGTGTTAAATTCGACGCCATTGACATGAAATTAGCACGGAATGGTCGATTTCGTGAGGTGGAACACAGGAAATGACACGGCACGGGACGTCCGGATTTCCTAGATAATGAGAACACGCGGAGGAAGCACTGTGTGGTTAACCAAAGTTTGTGATTCGAACGGTTCGTTAGTGAATGAACAGGGTTATGGTGAATCAGTATTTAATGCTCGATTGTGATGGTTGTGTACTCAACAATGAATTATTATGGATAAACTGGGGACTGCGGATCTTTATGCAAATATGTATACGTCTTTTTACTAAATACAATTTGCATAAAAAAATTAAACAACCAGTGTTCAGCATCCGAGTATCATTTACGCATTCCCCGCAATTTATTCCGTTTTATTATACACACATAAAGTTAACGTTCTCTTCGCGTACTCTGATATGCCATAAATTGCATAAACGTCCGTAGTCCAGTTACAAATTACTCATAGACTCGAATTACCAGCACGGTTAGTATGGTAATTGGTAGCGAATCGAACGATGGGTGGGTACTCTCCTCGACGCGGATAAAAACTGTTCGGTCAGTTATCTGGGAAAAGGGGAGGACAAAGAATAGGTTAGAAGATGGCTAGATCGAGCGTCGAGAACGATCAGTGGCAGGAAACGAGCCAATCGCGTACCAACGCGAATCTACAATTAATATGACATTAGAGAGGATCTGCCTGCGGGGGAAGAAATCTGAAATGACACGAAATTACAAGCGGTCGCTCGGCAAAAAGAGGTCGGAAAAGAGGAGACTGTTGGATTTCGAACTATTCGGATAATCGACCGCTTCTCGTCTTCCAAACACGAAACCAGCATTTTCACCCCTGTACCCTTGGAGGACGAGAAGATTGGCTACTTAACTCGTTGCGTACGATTTTATGCATTCTTCCTTTTATTGGATCGTCCCTCGATAAATCCACCAGTCAGAATTGCCTTTTAACGGTGAGCGTGTTTGCAAAGGAAGCAAAGATACATCTTGCAATTATTAGTATTCGGTTGGAGCATGAGATGTATTGAAACTCACTACGATTTCTTTGGGAGTTTGACTTTGTAATCGCGTAAAAATCTCGGATAATTTTTTACCACCGCACAGCCATTCATAAAGCATTTCTTTATTTTTGACATATTGTACTCGACGATACGCAACGAGTTAACATCGATACGACTCCACGCTTCTGTGACTCGGGAGGTGGTTCCCGTTGTAAATACGATTAGAAATCGATTTGGTGGCGTTAAACTGTAAATAACCAGGCTCGCGGACA